GAAGGAGTGGCATCCACTTCCTAAACAACAGGCCTCCGGAAACTCTATGAACTTTGATAAATATCCATAGTTGTAGAGGGGCTTCAGGCTTTTTGTTCATATGAGCTATGAGTCATGCTTGACTTGAAGGCAATCAACAACAACAACAATGGTTATTGATGATAAATTCCTTCCTGAAATGGTTCCGTGTCACGTAAATTTTTTTTTTTTTAGTACAGTATTCCTTCCATCTTCTTTTGATGTATTCTGCGTCATTTAAGATTTCATGCAAAGGATCATTTAGTATTGCATCTGAGGTTTCAATTTGTTCTTCAGTTCTCTCAGCTTGAGAAATGTTCAGTGAGTTCTTCCCTTCTGATTTTCTGAGCCCCGGTCTTTGTATCTTTCATTATAATACTCTGTTGTGTCTTCATGAGCTGCCCTTGGAAATCTTTCCGTTCAACTCTTTTACTTTATCACTTTGCCCCTGTGTTTTAGCTTTTCAGTATTCTAGTGTAATTTTCAGAGTCTCAACATCAAGAAAACAAAAATTCTCACCATTAAGCCAACTGGCAGCACCATGATGAATGGAGAAGAGATTGAGATTGTTAACAATTTCAGCTTGCTTGATTCCACAACTAACACTCTTGGCACCAGCAGTCAGGGACCTCTACAGAGTGCAGAAGAGCAACGATGTCAGTCTAGAGACTGAGATGTGCCTGATCCAATTTATGATATTTGCAATTACTTGCTATGCATTAGAGCTAGTCAATGACTAAGGATGGCAAATGAAGAATAGATGTCTTTGAGTTTTGATGCTGGAGAAGGGTACTGAACATACAATGGTCAGCCAAGAAACTAGTCTGTCCTGGAGAAGGTGAAACTAAGCTACTCTTTAGAGGTAAGTTCCAGGAGAGGCCAGACTTTGGAGAAGGACATAATGCTTGGAAGGATGGAGGGACAGCCCAGAAGAGGAAGACTCTGGATGAGATGGATTGACACAATAACTGGGGTAATGTGCTGAAGACAGTGAGAACGGCTTAGGATAGGGCAATGTTGAGAGCTATTGTACGTAGGGTCGCTATGAGTTGCAATCAACTTGATGACACAAAACAACAATAACATTCTGACATCCATTTTGGTCTTTTGCTTCCTCTAACTTTGCAATGTCCTTTTTCTTTCTTCCTTGATGTCATCCCACAGTTCATTTGGCCTTCGGTCACTGTTGTTCAGTGCCTCAAATCTAATCCTGAGATGGTCTAATTAAATTGTTGCTGTTGTTGTTATATGCCATCAAGTTGATAACAGCTCATGTTGTAGCTGTTACAACATGTAATGTATCATTGAGTCAAATGCAACCCACAGGGGTCCTATGAATGACAGATCTTAACCCTGTCCTATCCTGTGCCATTCTCATACTTCCTGACACAAAAGAGCCCACTGTGGCAGTCACCGTGTCAATCCACCTGGTTGAGGGTCTTCCTTCTCCTTCACTGACCCTTCACCATTCTAAGCATCATGTCTCTCTCCAAGGAATAATCCCTCCTTCCAACATGCCCTAAGTATGTGAGGTGAAGTCTCATAATTTTGCCTCAAAAAATTACTCCAGCTGCACACTCTCTAAGATACATCTGTTTGTTCTTTTGGCAGTCCATGGATGGATGTTCAGGGCTCTTCTCCAACACCACAGCTCAAAGACATCAATTCTTCTTCTATCATCCCTATTCATTGTCCAGTTCTCAGATGTACAGCAAGTGACTGGAAAGACCATGGCCTGAATCAGACACACCTTAGTCCTCTGATATAATTATGCCTCAATAATTTCGAGAGGTCCCTTAACTGCAGACTTTTCCAGTGCAATATGTCTCTTGATTTTCTGACTGCTGGTACCAAGGGTGTTATTTGTGGATCCAAGTAAAATGAAGTTGTTGAGAGTTTTAATCTTTTCTCCATCTATCATGATGTTACCTACTGGTCCAGTGGTAAGAATCTTTATTTTCTTTACAAAGAGATGCAAATCTTATGTAAAGCTGTCTTCTTTGATCTTCTGCAACAAGTGTTCCTCACTTTCAGCAAGTAAGTTTTGTCACCTGCATAATGCAGGTTATTGATGAATCTTCTTCTGATCCTGATGCCACATTTCTCTTCAATAGAATCTAGCTCCTCGAATAATTTTCTCAGCACACAGAATGAATAAGTATAGAGACAGAATACAACTCTGATGCAATCCCTTCAGTGTTCCCTTGCTCTGTTCACACAACAGTCTCCTGGTCTGGGATTTACATTCTTTTTAATGTTAGCCATAACTTGCTATGATCCACACAGTCAAATGCCTCTACATAGTCAATAAAGCATAAATAGACATTCTTTTGGTATTCTTTACTTTCTTGCAGGATCCACCTGACATCAGCAATGATATCCCTGGTGCCATGGCCTCTTCTAAATCCTGCTTGAACTTCTAGCAGTTCCTTATCTATGTATTATTCAATTCATTTTTTAATGATCTTCAGCAATATTTTGTTTGCATGTGATATTAACACATACAACTCATAGAAAGCTTATAAACAACAGCTCTGAACCTTGCCCTATCTTAAGCCAATGGCACTGTTTCTTGACACACCTGACCCCATTGCCACAGTCACTGGGTCAATCCACCTCTTCCAGTGTCTTCCTCTCTTGCACTGTGTCTCCATCCTTCCAAGCATGATGTCCCTCTCCAAGGGTGGTCCCTCCTTGCAACATAGGGTTGGTTTGAGTAAAACTTCCCAGCAATGGCAACAACAATACAGGAAAAATGCATCAATACTCCACATCAAGTGGGATTAATAAAGATTATAAAAGACTTCAAAATTGTTTAAGTAAAGGTTTAGTTATAAAATGAGTTGGGAAATAAACAACTAGTTCCGGAACTTCTTAAATTTTAGAACTGTCAAAAAGTAGTGGAAGGATAATGTGGTTTTTTGTTCTTTGCTTTGTTAATGTGATGAATTACATTAATTGTTTTCCTTGTATTGAATCATCCTTGCACACCTTTTAGAAATCCCATTTGGTCATGAGGACTTTTTTTTTTTAGGACTTATTTTTTTGATATAATGTTGGACTCCACCGGTCAAGATTTTGTTGAGGATTTGCACACCTATGTTTATTTCTGTGTCATTCACAATAGCGAAGAAATGGAAGCAGCCCAACTGCCCATCAACAAACAACTGGATAGAAAAATTGGTACCATCACATAATGGAATATTATGCAGCATTGAAGAAACAATGAATTTGTAAAACACAACATAGGTGAGCCTGGAAGACATCATGCTGAAGGAAATAGCTCAGTCACAAAAGGACAAAAACTATATAACACTGCTATTGTAAAATAGGACTGGCATTGGGAGAAGGAGAAAAACAGGAAAAGAGTGGCTAGATAATGAACACTGTATTAGAAGAGATGAGAGGAAGGACTGCCTGAAAGGAATGTAGGATTAGGCATTATATGTATGATAATTAACAATATAGAACAAGAAGCGCATTACAGGCTGGTGCAGGCTGCCATGAGCCGGTTATCAGAAGACTATGACCTTTACACTGTTGAAGAGCCCAGTGATGAGGAGCCGGATCTAAGCAGCTCTGAAGAGTAAATGGATGTGCTTTTATATGGAACCCCTGACCAAAATGGAAAACTCATCAGAGAATGTCTCACTGGAGAAAGTGAATCATCGAGAGAAGATGAATTTGAAAAAGAAATGAAAGCAGAATTAAATTCCACCATAAAGACAACGAAGGACAAGTTATCTTCTCTGGAAACAGAATCTTCGTCAGGAAATGGGAAAACTGGAGCAGCTCTGACAAAATACTATGATGATGTCTATTTTGATTCTGATTCTGAGAATAAAGACAAATCAGCACAGGTCACCAAGAAAAAAAAGAAGTGACACCGGATTCCAACGAATGATCAATTACTTTATGATCCTGAAAAGGATAACAAGGATCAGGCTTGGGTTGATGCACAGAGAAGAGGCTATCCTGGATTTGAACTACAGCAGCCACATCAACAACAGCCTGTACCTAATAGTGATGCTGTCTTGAATTGTCCAGCCTGCATGACCACACTGTGCCTTGACTTCCAAAGGCATGAATCATATAAAACTCAATATACAGCAATGTTTGTGATGAATTGTTCTGTCAATAAAGAAGAGATTCTAAGGTACAAAATCCCAGAAAACAAGAAAAAAAGATGGGGCCATAAGAAGATGTGGTCTACTCATGGAGATGCTGCAAAACAGGCAAGAGACAGAAGGAGAAGAAATTTACCACCCAGTTATGTGCACTGAATGTTCCACAGAAGTGGCAGTCTATGACAAGAATGAAATATTTAATTTTTTCAATGTTTTAGCAAATCATTCCTAAATAGTGCAACTGGCATTTACTTGCCCAGTGTTACATATAAAAGGCAAATATGGACTTCCATTTTTCTCATACCTATCTGTATCAAGAGGTGACATTCTGAATTGTTGAAGAAGCAGTGTTTCAGCTTTAGAATAATGGTTATTAACCTTTGTTTCCCTTCCTCTTTTTGTAAATTTTCACCAACACAGTGGGCTCTTTTTTGGTATTCTCTTTGAAACAGTGGGCTTTTATTTACTAAAGCTATTTAGAATTGAAAAAAAAGAAGTGCATTACAAAGTGCACTAGAGGGGGGAAAGAAAGGAGAGGAAAATGTGCAAGAGTGAGTGAATGAAAATCCAAACTTTCTGTGAATATTCATTAAAATCAATTTAAAATAAAGGAGGGGCAAGTATTGTTGAGCTAATAGAATTCTATTATATGGCAGGAAGAAAAAAAGGTAGTGGAAAATCTCTACTAAAGTCAATGGGAAGAGCTTATGCAAGGCAAAATTATCATCAACTTCTAAAAGATAAAAGAAAAAAAGGTGTAAGTAAGTCTTTGGACTTTTTATCTCCTGAGCTTTGGTATAAAACAGTATCTTTATGGCCACCAGGTAACCCAAAGAGGTAAAAGTTGAATCTTACCAGAAAGGTAGAGTCCATTTCTGCTGTCATCAGCACTATTCCCTTTTCCTCCTTCAGTTCAGGGTAGTGGTATAAAATCAGCTGGCTGGCTGCAGTTTCCCCTCGCGTCTGCAAGGAAGAACACATATCAAGGCTCAATAAGGAAGGACCATAATAGCAATTTCAGAGCAACAGAGAGTTCAGAGGAAACTCTGGCTCTTAACAGCCCCTTGGGTGTCTAGTGAGTTGAAGGACTCATTGGTGGAGGAAAGGTCACGTCTGCTAAGAACCAATGAAAGTGACAGTTTGCACGGTATTATTTGTGTTTCAATTGGAAAAAGTCTGGCTTTCTTCCCAGAAAATGTTTACAGTTGGCAGTGAATCCTTCATCATGGCCATACACTGAAAACCAAAATGGCACAAGCAGTTACCAAATCAAATTTAAAGAAAGCACTGCATCTGTGTAATTGCCACTTTTATGGACTAGTACCATTTCACAGCTGATATCTACTTTGCAGGGAGGCTCTAAAGGCTAAGCTCTTTTAAGATGCAGCAAACAGTTGGAGAATTTGCACATGGGCCAGATTTGCAAGATGTAGTTTTAAGATATAATCAGGGGATGGGCGGGTGGCGAGGGGGAAGAATAGGACATATAATAATAATAATAATTTTATGAAGAACAGACATTTTACAAGCTCTCACGCCTAGACTAGGAAGAGAGTTTGGTGCTAGATGCCTGGGTTAAAAGCTAGAAGTCTCATAAAAGATAAGAAGTAATAACTATAAACAAATAACAGCACAAACCCCCCCCAAGTTTTATCTTTCAAATTTTATCAAGAATTACTATAACTAGTTCAAATGACTAATGGACCATGGGAATCATAGCCTCTACTAGCCTGAGACCAAAAGAACTAGTTGGTTAGCACTATCAATTTCTCTGAGGAAGATCACAATGGAAGGACCTGTACAAAATTGAAGAGAAAAGTAGAACAAAATCCTAAGAGACCAGATGGTGGAACCTCCACGACTGTGGCCTTTAGATACTCTTTGAACTCAGAAATGAATTCATCTAAGGAATCATTTTTTTTTCAGCCAAATACTATAGGCCAAAAAAGTGAGCAATAATGACGTTCAAGGAAAATACTCCCAAATAAACTAAACAAGTGAGACCAAAAGGATAGCATTTGCAAAAAAACCCCTATACTAGTTCAAAAGACAGGAAGGGGTGAGAAAGAAGGATGAATGGAAATGGGAAACACAGGGAGGAGACAGGAAGAGTGAGGGACTAAAACTAGTATCACAAAACAAATATGTACAAACTGTTAGAGAGCTAATGTGCTTTATAAATTTTTACCCAAATCACAAAACACTCCCCCACAAAGTATTCTTTTAATTATCAAATCTAACTATACAGTATTTTTAATCTTTCAATCTCTCATTTCTCCGAAGCATATTTCTAAAATTATGCTGATCATTTTGATCAAAATTCTCTCCTAGATGTTTCTCTTATATTTGTGTATGAGCAACATGAGGGTGGGGACCTTGTCTCCTGGATCTCTAGGCTCCAGGAGAGTTTTTAACAAAATAGCAGTTATTAAAAGCTGATGGAGTTTGGAGACAAATAACCTGGGCTCAAATTGAGCATGTATTAGCAATATGAACAAACTTCTTGAAGCCCATTTACTTCTCTGTAACAATATCTCAAAGGCCATTTTGTGAGGATTAAATGACAAAATGTAAATACATGCTTTTTTCATATTTGGACCAATACTATTTATGATTTCATTTCAAATAATGATTTTATTTTATAATATTGAAATGCTTTGGAAGTAACTTCTTTTTTAAAAAAAGGTGCAAACACATCATCTATTGAATGGATACTATGCATTTAGTACCTTGGAAGGTGCTGCCTTACTCAATAAAACAAGTTAAGATATACAGCTCTCTTTAGTGAGCTTACATCTTAGATTAAAAAAACAATCACCACAACTGTCCCATATCAAATGAGGCAATGCAGTTAAGTGCTACAGAAGTCTGAGAAGAAAAAAACAGTCATAAGTAACCAGAGAAGGTGATCTAAGGTCTTTTCCAATTTTAAAGTGCTAATCAGGAAGCTAGAGGGATCTTGGCTGAAAGCAGGGAGGACCAGAGGAATGCCTATCTGTGCATCATTGTCTATGCAAAAGCATTTGACTGTGTGGATCACAACAAACTGTGGCTAACTCTGAGAGAAATAGGAATCCCAGAACACTTGATTGTGCTTATGTGAAATCTATACTTGGATCAGGAGGCAGTTGTCAGAACAGATCAAGGAAACACTCATGGTTCAAAATCAGGAAGGACTTATGCCAGGGATATGTCCTATCTCCATACCTTTTTAACCTATATGCAGAACAGATTATCTGGGAGGCTGGGCTCTATGAGGAGAAATGTGGCATCAGGATTGGAGGTAGACTCATCAACAATCTGTGTTATGCAGATAACATAACTCTGCTTGCTGAAACTGAGGAGGACATGAAGTGCTTGCTGCAGAAGTTCAAGGACTGCAGCCTTCAATATAGATCGAAGCTCAACCTCAAGAAAATAAAGATTCTCACCACCGGGCTGATTTGCAGCATCATGACAGATGGTGAAGAGATTGAGAATGTTAGCAACTTTAGTTTGCTTTGCTCCACAATCAATTCTCTTGGTTTCAGAAGCCAGGAAATTAAAAGGCAAATTGCACTGGGAAAGTCTGCTGTTAGAAATCTCTCCACAGTACTGAAGAGCAATGATGTCAGTCTGGAGACTAAGGTGCATGTGATCCAGGTCATAGTTTTTGCAATTACTTGCTCTGCTTCAGAGAGTTGGACAATGACTAGGGATGACAGGAGGAGAATTGATGCCTTTGGGCTGTGGTGCTGGAGAAGAGTATTGACTATACCATGAATAGCTAAAGAACACACAGGTTTGTCCTAGAGAGGGTGAAATGAGGCTGCTCCTTGGAGGCAAGGATTCTGAAGCTTTGTCTGACATACTTTGGACATGCTGCAAGGTGGGACCAGTTCCTGGAGAGGGAAGTCATGTGGTGGGACAGTGCAGGAGAGGAAGAACCTCAATGAGATGGACTGATTCAGTGAATGGGGTAAAGGGGGTAGGTGTGTCAGAGAGAGTAAGATTGGCCCAGATAGGGCTGTTGTACACAGGGTCACAATGAGTCGCAGGTGACTCAAAGGCACACAACCACCACCACCACAACCAATCATGAAGCTAGAAATTAAAAAACTAGCCTAACATACAGAATATGCCCATTCTTCAGAGCTACAGCAAGTGCTGCTGGTGATGGTAGCTATTTTGTGCCCCCAAACCTCACACTCATTAAGGGCTTCATCTAGAAAAGATCACGAGCTACTCACCTGAATATTTATAAGTGCAGTGAAATGGAGTTCAGTACCTGTCCACTGTCCAACAAAGAACTCATAACCCTCCCTTCTTGGGAGTGCACACAGAAACTGTGGAGAAAGATACACAATGAGATAGATGAATGAATAGCTGAAGTAATTCACTCTATGCCCAATCACCTCTAGCATTCCCTACATTTGTTCAAAGTTTGGTTTTAAAATTATTTTTTAAAATGGTGAAATTCAGCTGCTCTGGTGGCCTAGTGGCTAGAAGCTGCATTGAAATTCCAGAGGTGCGCTGTTCGAATCCACCAGATGCTCTGCTGGAGAAGGAGGGACAATCTCCTCCTGTACTAGTCAGATCCAATTTGGCGGTATAGACACACACACACTTTTAAAAAATTGTGGGTTTTTTTTTTAAAAAGTGAAATTCATTAAGTAATAATATAGCAAATACTCATATATACAGCCTAAATCACCTAAAGATTCCACTGTTATGTCATTCCATTCATGTTTTTATAATTTATTTGTGTATATTGATACCGAATTCTAGTGGCCACACTGAAATCCCCAAAGCACACAGTTTGAATACACAAGCTTCTCTGTGGGAAAAGGATGGGCAATCTCCGCCCGTGCAATGAACTGTCTCTGAAAACTCCCTGGAGGGTCAGCCATAAGTCCATTTTGACTCAACAGCAAAACACAACACAACATATCCATAGCAAGGACTCATATTGTTTAAAACTTAATGTTTAAAAATTACATAAATGTTATCAAACTCTATGCATCTTTATGTAACGTAGGTTTCACTTCACATTATACTTTGGTAATTTATCCATGTTGATTAGCTCTAATATATTATCACTGTTGTGTAAAAACCTATTATAGAAATAAATATATCCTAATTTAGATATCTATTGATGCTCATCATCTCTTGAGGAATATTTGGATCTTTCCCAATTTCTACCTTTTTAAAATCCTGTTGAGCTAAATTCTGTTCCAATTATTTTAATCACTTTATATTCTATCAGCTGAGGGAGGCACTGAAGTATAGCTCTAGGCTAAATATCAAGAAATTATTAGTTATATGACTGGAAGACTCAATGTTGTGAAAATGGCAATACTACCAAAAGCAATTTACACATTTAATGCAATCCCAATACAAATACCAATCCCATTTTTCAACGAGATGGAAAAGGCAATCTCCAATTTCATATGGAATGGAAAAAAGCAAAGCACTCCTTAAGAATA